CTGCTACTGCTACTACTGCTAGTACCACTACCACTACTGCCATGCTACTGCTTTCTGTGCAGTCCTCGGAGGGCATAGTGGTTGGAGCAGCGAATGCCGGAACCTGAAAGCAGCCAGTCACGTTCTGTGGGGATCTTATGGGTACTTGTATTGGCACATATGGTTTTTGTAAGAAAGTGAGTTTTCATTCATTTTAAGGTCCGGAATTTTTTGGGGTGGTATTTCGGGCACTTGGGTTATGCGGTTTTCGGGATGCGAAGGTGGACTTGTGGCTTCTGGATTGGGGCTCTGGGTTTGCATGTTAGCGTTTACGAGCATCAATGTGCCTCGACGCCTGGTGGCGGCATTGTGGGCAGTGTTCTTCGGGGGTTTTGGGGTGTGGCACGCAGGCAACCCTACAGCTGTCAACCTGATAGAAATCCCTTTAGAAGTCCTTATGGGAACCCGTATAGGAATCTTTGTAGACAGCCCTATAGCCCTATAGAAACCCTTGTAGCAAGCCGCAAAGCCCTTCGGAAACCCCTTACCTGCGCCGGCTGCGGTGCCGGAGCTTCGGTCACCTTGCCGCCGCCGAGTGGCTTTGGCGGATTGACAAGAGTCTCCTTTATTCGGGGTTTAAGATTTTTGAAGGCTACATTTTCCGCAGTACCATGGATTTAAGCTTTAGCGTTTTGGTTCTTTTTTTTGCTTTGGCGAGGGTCACTGAAGGATTTTTATTCTTATTTCTGAAGAGTTGTATCCAAGGCTTCACTTCACAGGGCTAAGGACTGCAGAGTTTAGGGTTGAGCGCGTTGGGATTTGAGGAAGGACTTTGTTCATCAGCTTATCCTGCAATTCACATATCTTGCTTGACTCACTGCGGCCTTTCCCAACCGAAATCCCCATGAAAGCGTCGGTCATGAAATCAATACAAACGTATGCAGCATTCGATCAACCCGCTGCGAACCTGGTCGAAGCACTTCAACCCTCCCAGCTACCATCCAATCTGAAGCATCTGTCCTACTCCCTAAAACCCAGGCTCGCTGCGGACACCCAGCCTGTCCCTGGACCACCTCCACTGGGTGAGGCTGTCCGGCCAAGACCTCGACTGCACCACCCATGTCCCTGCTACCCATGATCATGCTGTAACTACTGATGTTTACCGCTGCAACTTGTACGTCATGCGATTCGGGTTCTTGCTGAAATAGGTATGCTTCCTTGGACAAGTACTCGTCTCAATTACGTACAAGCATGCAGGGGACCAACAGTAGCGACAAGAATCCCATCGACACAGGCAATTGAGCAACTAGTGGACTCACAATAAACATAGAGGGACAATACACGTTTCAATAGCAGAAGCACCACCATCAACAGCAACAGCAGTCGAAATTGATGCTCAGGGTCTGGGCTGGCTCTTGATGATCCTAGCCTTTCGATTTTGAAGACCCTGCTAGACCCATAAAGACCAGCACGGCTGAATGCAGTGAAATTTCCAAAGAATGTGTTCCACTACCACGGCGTGGCCTGCTGCACAGTCTGCGTCGGTTGCTCCTGCGCTGCGGACGAGTGCCGAACGGGAGATTGTTCGGACATTCCTCCCCACTTCGGCCCTGAAAAAGGTGACCTTGGTTTGGGTATCTATGACTATGAGTTAGGGAGGTATTGGCAAAGTCGTGTTCAGTCGTCCATGGAAAGCAGATACGAAATTGGTGTCTCACATGCCTCCACGGCTGTCAGGCCCTACACTTCTAAATTTTCGAAGGCATTATGCAACGGATTTTCCTGCCAATGGTGCTGAGACACAAGGTCAGGCCATAACAACTGCGAGGTGGTCTCAGCCTAAATCGAATTACCATTACAAAAGCAACCCGCGGAGCCAAACCAAACCCGACACAACCCAACGCATCCAATGCCGTATGCGAAGGCCTGGCTAAGACCCCCCAGTCGATTTCTGCAGGATTGAAATACCGGGAATAATAGGTACATACATACATACATACGTACATACATACGTACATACATACATACATACGTACGTACGTACGTACGTACGTACGTACATACATACCTACCTACCTACCTACCTACCTACCTACCTACCTACCTACCTACCTACCTACCTACCTTACCTACCCTACCTACCCTACCTACCCTACCTACCCTACCTACCTACCTACCTACCTACCTACCTACCTACCTACCTACCTACGTGCCTACCTACCTACTTACTTACTTACATACTCAAATATACTATTATGCTACACTGATTTACATACTAAATATTGATGCTGACAGCACTGTCCAATTCCAAGATTTCCATATGTCGCAGGCCTGAGGCTTTAGCGGCTATTAACCGAACAGCTGATGTGCTTGGCATAAGCTGGCGTAAGCCCTGCCCGAAGCCTAAACCCAAACCCCAATCTCCAAGCCCTGAACCCATACCCCGAAACCCGATAGCCCCAGCCGACCTCGCGGCGGCGCTCACCTGGAACATCCACCTCGTTGACGGTGCCACGAATGGTCTGTCCCTCCTGATCCGTTTAGGGGCTTTGGGTTTCAGAGCATTCTGTTCAAGGCTGTAGAAGTAGGTGGGTGCTGTTGCAAATGTTCCAATAGTTACATTAGTTTGCTTGAGGCTTTGGGGTGACTCTTGGGTTCAGGGGTTTGAAAGTTTTTGGGCAAAAACAAGAATAAAGCCTGGGGCAGAGGCAACGAATGCCAACAAAACAACCTCCATCGTGCAGTGACTTTTTGATGCACTCTGATTTGCCTCACAGTTTGCGTCGCCAGGCGAAGCGACTCTCCGGAGGACCTCCATGATGCCAAATGGGACGTTTGCCATCAGTTTCTGCAATGGCTCGGCGGCCAAATGCCGGACAAAGTCATGGCTTACCTCGCATTCCCGGTCTCCCAACAGCTCCATGAACGTGGCGCCGAAAACGTAATGGTCCAGTTGCACAAGGCCCCAACCTGTCCATGGTATGGGCGCATAAAAAGGGTGCCAAGTCCCTGAGCCGCTTCTTGTTGGAGCGACTCAGACGCATCGAAATCAATCAATTTAGCACGGTACGTGTTGGGGTCGGTTCGCAACAGGTGGGCAGGCTTCACATCTCGGCGCACTATGCCGTTCTTGTTGAGATGATCCAATGCGCTTGCTGCTCCACAAAACACGACGGTGAAACCACTGTTGTTCACGCAGCGCCCACTCAAGGCCGGCCCCCATAGGTCCAAAGGCCTACATGTCACCATGTAACACAATGCTATGCATGGATGTGTGACACAAACTACATATCTCCAGAACAGACGGCTTCTCAGCCTTCATGACATTCACAGCACACGGCCTTTTGAAGCTGCCTCGCCAGACTATGCCTTGGCATCTTGTGCCAGTTTGGCCTTGCGCGACCATGGGATTGCTCGACAACGTCTTTGCTTTGTATTGTCGAGCATTCTCCTGACGTTGTAGTCCGAAGGGGCTTGCACGCATAGCATTGTTCGGCCATCTTGGCGCATGGTCAGTCCTGAGACATGCGGATTGCCAAAATGGACAGGCTCGGATGCGGGATGCTGCTTGGTGTCTAGGTCCAAGCTTGCATTGATTGCGTGGGTGTGCAGTTGTGCTGGCTCCGCAGCACAAGCGACGGTCCTGAGCTTGGTATGCAGCAGGACCATGGAAGCAGAATATCACACAAGCTATTCTACACTCAGTCATATGCCATAATTCGGACTTGATTTCGTTTGCACAAACTATATCAGAAGCATCATTTCGTCGTTGCTGTGGGTGTAGCAAGCTTGTCCCAAGTGTATGTGGCTGAAGGGGTTGATGGTAAAGGATTTTCGCGCGGTGCGACAATGCAAACACTGATGATACTGATGTGGCTGATCCGGCTACATGAGTCATGACTGGCAGGTGTTGGGCCACTTTGGTTTGTGAGCTCAGAGCGGAGCAGCAACTGCAGGGGCGCTTCCTGAGGTTGTATAAGGGCTTGAAACGAGGGTTACATCAGGGTTTATATGTATTTCACAGTAGCAAATCTTGTGAAAGTTTACACGAATAGAGGCAAAAGGAATGATCGGAGCAACAATTATTATGTGAACGGAAAGAAATGAAACCAAAACAGCAATGGTGCTTTAACCGGAAATCCTCAAACCCAACAATTGGAAAAAAAAACACCAAAACACAAAGTCCATGAGACCCGACACCGCGGAACACCACTAAACCCGTTTTCCAGTTGTTGCGGTTACGCCCCCCAATCCCTGCATGTCCTGCTGGACCTCCACGACCTTCTGCACCACCTGCACCTCGGAGGTCTCGACCCCTTTCGGGTTTGGGTTTGGGTTTACGGTCTGTCTTTTAAGGGTTTAGGGTTTAAGGTGTAGGGAAGCCCTATTCGTGCTATGACCACACTATGCTGACATCACCATCCCTTGCTGGAAACCTGCCCTACCAACCAAAAATCCAAAACTGCACAGGTCCACCAGAATAGAGTTGGAGTCGATTCAGAGTTTCTCCGAAAACCCTTGGGGGATGAAGGCCGATTTAAGGTCGTGGGTGTTTTTTTGTTTATAGGGCTTAGAGCTTGAGGGTTTAGGTTCCAAGGCTTGTTGGTGGCTTTAGGGCTGCAGGGTTCAAGATTTTTTTTTGGCCTTTGGAGCCCTTCGCTACCAAGGCTCGGGCGGCTGCTGCTCCGTTATCGGACTATCTAATCTCTCACTTGCGCCGTGCGTAATCGCACACCCTATACGCGGAGGACCCTAAATCTCAAGACCCAAACCCCAAAGCCCTAAAGCCGCTGAGAACAAGACATAGACATGGAACCAAAAGAAGTTGAAAGCAAAAAAAAACAAAACCAAAACCCCGAAACCCCCGAAAACTGCGCAAGCCAAAGCAAACCTACCTAAAGGCCCGAAGAGTCCTACCGAAATCCTTGTACCAACCGCCATAGAAGAACCCCAAATCCTTCCTTTTGTTTTGCCTATTATACTATTTTTGGGGGTTCCTTATTATTAATTATAGTATAATGGGCCCGAAAACCCTATTCTAACTATTAAGGATTTTCCCCTTTCAGGGCTCGGCCATCGGGATCTCCACCACCCGCTCGATGGTCTGGACCTGCGCTCGGCAACGATAGTATAGGGGGTCTTAAAAATCAGAATAGGGTTTTGGGGCCCATTATACTATAGTTATAATAGGGCCTTAATTTTTAGAATAGTTGAAGAGGGGTTTTGGGGCCCATTCTACTATAATTACTAATAAGGAAACCACCCAAAATAGTATAGGTAATTATTTAGGCCCCTAGATTAGGACCAAGTGAGAAAGCACACACGGAGGTATACGCATCACGATCACAGCAGCAGCCACAAGGGAGTCTCAGGCTGCCAGAAAGAAGCACCTATGAGCATAACAGACATGTCAGGGGTGAGGCGTTCTGCTTCGATTTGTTGAAGGCTTGACTTGCCTTTATGGCCGCCCTTCCTCGGCCTGTTCTGGCGTTCGGGTCGGGATTCCGATTTCTAAGCTGTGCCAGGAAAAGCCAGGAACAAGCCCTCTGGAGCATTACAGGATGTCGGGTTGAGGGTGTAGCACTTTTTTTTAATGCTCATAAGAGCACGGCCCTTTCGGTGCGGCCTGTGGAACCTCGCGCTGCTTCACCACGGGGATGTCCACCACCTTCTCCGTGGTCTCGATCACGTTGACCTGCAGTTGGAACGGTCTCTCAAAAGAGACCCTCGCCCGGGCCCCAAGGGGGCCTGGAGAGACTAAAAGGTGACTCATCACCACCGTGATGGTTACGATGGTTACGATCTTTGCGATAGATTAGCAGGCGCAGGTATGGACATACCTCTCTCGTCAAATGATGAATGATGAATGGCTCAACAGTCCGGGCAATAATCCGGGCCTCCACGGGGCGCTCGACAGGGATCTGCACAGGGACGTGGCGATGCTTCTGGATGGGGATGTGCACGTGCTGGTCCTCAGGGCTGAGAGCTTCGGAATGTCGTCTGCGATTCGGGATTCTCATGTCGGAGTTTACCGTTGTTGATTTTGTTGGCCTAGCTGAGCAAAGCTTGCCGGCCTTTACCGGGCGAAGAAGATCCAGCAACCGTTAACAAACCCAGAGCTTCATGCTGACATTGAAAGCCGGATACTTGTGCAAGCAAGTGCTCTGCCCTGCATCCCCAGTTTCAAAAATCCGACTACACCGAACTTCTAGTAAACTGCAAAGGCCCCTAAACCCTAGAGGCCTATGCTGCAGCCTCACATGACCGAAGAAGTCGGTACCCTAAACCCAGCCAATAGAATCCCCAGACACATTAAGATTCAGTACTTCAACCACTGGTGAAGTTCACAGTCCTGAAGTGCCCTCAGCCATGAGGAGAATCGGAGGGACTCGAAAATCAGGGTTTGGAGGCTTCCTAAGCCCTGAATCCTAAAACCCTGAACTGGGGTTCAGGGAAACAAGGCAGGCCGAGAGTCGATGTACTCGATCTGTGGAATCTCAATCTCGCGGTTCACCTTTCGAAAACGATGGGGTGGGTTTAGGGTTTAGGGTTTGGGGCTATTTAGGATGAAGATCCTGTTGCTGCTCCTTTTGGATACCTCAAAGGCGCCATGATCCGGAATAGTCACTGCATTACCTCACACACCCACACTCCTACACTTTATAGTTCTAGCTGAAGCATGTTGGGACAAAAGAAAGGTCCGGTCCTCGTCCGACTGCATCTGAGCGGGAGCTGGTTTGACCAACGATGCTCATGCGCTCGGAGCTCCCAGAGACTCTAATATATCCTTTAATTAAGGAATACTACTTAGATCATATTCGGGGTCCCACTTTGATTTAAGTTATATTCCTTACTCAAGGGATGTTGGAAGGTCTGTGCCTTTCGTCTTGCCGCCAGGAAGCTGTCTGGACCATTGGAACGTGGACGTGCTTCTGGACCGGCACTTCCACCACCTTGTCCACGTACCTGGGCAAGCACTGTCCGAATTACGTCAAACCTGATGATCACCATTATTCTTATGCCTATTCTTACTCCTATTATCACCATCATTATTACTGTTATTACATGGTCACGACTACTTCTTATTGTCATTATGTTGAGTATGGCTATGATTACAGTTATGATGATGATTATTACTACTATGACGCATTTCATCAGTGTTACTGTCATTATGTCAATCCTCCTTCGAGCAGCTGGCGAGCGTGGGAGGCTTGCTGCCGAGAGGCTGGATCTGTGGCACCTCCACCTGCTTCTCCACGGTCTGGATCATGGGGACGTGCACCTGGGCTCTAAACTCAAGATGGTATAATCTATTGCATGTTAAGGGATCCTAGTGACCTAGTGTACTGTGGAGTAGTATAGTGTGTTATAGGGTATTATAAAGCAGACTATACTTTAGGGTTTTGTACTATATTATCGGGAACTATGGCATACTATTAAGAAAAATGCACAAACAGTCCTGCACGTGGCAGAAGCTCGCTTCAATCCCCGAAAAAAAGCGGTCCCCCACTGCGCCTGCTTCTGGATGGGGACTTGAACCACCTGCTCCTCAACCTGGATCTGAGGAACCTCGACTTCCCTGCCAGGATGCAACAGACATGCGCGAACATCTACCTCCCTCGCCCTCCCACCGAATAGAGCAGTCCAGATCACATACTGGCCTACATAAAGCATGCATGCGACATGTATAGAGACGGATAGCTGGATGGACTGACTGGCTGACTCGTAGATATAATGACAGGTATGTTCCTGGTCAACTTATAAACTGCGTGCTCACTGTAAATCTAAACTCTGGACCCTAAGCCCTAATCCGTGTTACATCTCAGGCCTCTGGACTTGTTGCACCATGGGCACATGGACCTGCTTCTGCACCGGCACCTGGACGACCTGATCCTGATCATGAGGCTTCCTGCTGAGGTTTTACGGTTTATTGGTTAGAGTTCAGGCGTGTAGGGTTTATGCGCTTATGGGCATAAGGGATGTAGAGATGATTAGAGCCTCGGTCCAGGTGTATAGTTTGAGGCTTGGCGCTTCTGCTTGTGCTCCCATGTGCCACAACACAGCTTCACAGCTGCACTCCTCGTACTGGAGCTGTGGAATCTCCACCTGCCTCGGGGCACGGTTGCTTTAAAGGTCTGTTTATGATACGGGTAACGATGGTGCTGATGATGATGATGCTGCTGTCGCTGATGCTGATGCTGATGCTGATGCTGATGCTGATGCTGATGCTGATGATGATGATGATGACGATGATGATGATCATGATGATGATGATGATGATAATGGTCTGGAGCTTTGTGGCCGAAACGAGGAACAAGAACAATGAAGACTAGCAAAGAAGAAGCAGAACCCGAAGAAGAAGAATAAGAACCGCCACAAACGAGTGCTCTTAATCATGTTCATCATGATAGCCAACTGTTGGACAGTCCAAATCATAAGCACAATTGAGCTTTCCTTGGGCCAGTGAGCCGGAAGAATGTCAAAGAGAGTCCTTTTTCCAAGAGCCATGGGGATTTCGGCGGCTTTGTGTTATGATGAGTTTAGGGCATGACCTTATCATGGGCTTCATTGCACTGTGGGTGCTATGATGTGAAGTAAAGATCAGTGATACTGTATGCTATACGATAAGCAATCGAAAATTACCGAGGCCCTCGCATTACTCGGGCTGCGGGTTTAAACAAGTTGAAGAACTCCGTCAGAAATGAAGAACCCGCGTAAAGGGCTTGGATCGATCCCTTCCAAGCCCGCAACTCCCTGGCCCAAGCCCTAAACTCCTATTCCTCGAAAGCATGAACCACAAAACCCTGAAAGTTGAAGATTAACCGGTCAAGCCACAAATCCCTCTCCCTGGACCAAAGGCAAGACTCCTGCTATTCAGCCGTCTAAGAAGAAGGAGCCCAATGCTACGTAGCATCCTTATCGAGAGTGGGCTTGGCTCGCCTTTGCACCGGATTAGTGTTTAGGGTTTAGGATTTAGGGTTAGGGTTTAGGGTTTAGGGTTTAGAGTTTAGGGTATAGGGTTTAGGGTTGCCCAGAACCCGTGTAATAGTACTAGTAATAGTACTAGTAATAGTAATAGTAATGGTAATAGTAATGGTAATAGCAACAGTAGTAGTAACAGTAATAGCAACATATAGTAATTTTGATAACGAAATCACAAGACCCGCCTCTGCACGGTTTGGACCATTGGGATTTGCACCTGCTTCTGCACGGGCACCTCGACGATCTGGTCCTCCCCCAGGCTCCAACGTCAAACTGCCGAGCCCAACTCACAGAGCAGAAATGGTAACACGAGCAACGATGAGAGTAGCAAAACTGGGTTAACATCAGCAGAAGACACTTACTTCAAGGGAAAGTAAGAAGAACAGAACAGCACACTGGGAGCAGTGATTACCGACCGTGAACACGTAAACACAAGTCAGGAGATCACCAAGCTTGATAGGAGTTGTGGGACGCCGGATCCCCAAGTGCGCCCCGAATCTCGCAAGTCTGCACAGAAACAGAGCACCCTACCCAGCGATGTGTCGGGAGCCCGGGATAAAGGGCACGCCTTCGGGTTCAAGCTTTCAGCTCGCAGGAGTATTCAGGGCCCTGGGGTGCGACCCTCCAGGCAGAAGCCGCAGCCCTGGGCACGGGTCCTCGTACTGCACCTGTGGCACTTCCACCTGCCTCCGGTAAGAACTGAGGAGGGGTTGGAGACCTAACCTTGGAGCAAACATTTCAAGCTGCGCAGGGACACTATGGAAAGCCCCTTGTGCCTCTGCACGGTCTGGACCATGGGGATCTGCACCTGCTTTTGCACCGGCACCTCCACGATCTGGTCCTGCTCCAGCACATACCATCGGGCACTGCAGGCTTTCGTGATGTCTTCTTGTCTCCTGTGCAACCCTTCACAATTTAGGGTTCACAGGCCGCTTGCAATGAATCCGCCCTGGCATCCAAACCTGCGATTGATCACACAACCGAGATGTTCGCGTCCTCATACTGCAGCTGCGGCACTTCCACCTGCCTGGAGACTGCAGGCCCCGCTGGATGCAGATCTAATCACGATTACAAAATGAGCTCTGCAGGCCCCGAGCCTAGTCGCCGGTCCCAAGAAAGGGCTCCTACCTCCAAAGCCTGATTCCTGTACGAGTATCATCCTGTATCGTGATTCAACTCGGATACCCACGCAAAGCTGTCCGCATTCTGATGGTATTGTCCTCAACGCCGCTGTCAGTCTTTAAGCACCGTTATCTCTAGCAAATCAGAGGGTCATCAACATGACCATCGGGATCCTTTCGACGCCATGAGCATAGTCATCGTCACCACCACTGTCATCATCACAGCTGCATCAGGCTCAATGCCACGACTCCGATGTCTCAAAGTTCAGCAGGGCAAAAGCAGCGGCGCGATGACGATGAGGGTACCCACGGCACTATGAACACTGGTAGCAAGTCCTTTCGCAATGAACGACGAAGATTCACACACGATGACCTCAGCCCTTTGGTCGTGGACCGCCACTTCTGCCACCGGTGTCCACAACCCCCAAATCCCGCGAGATCTGCCTCTGCACGGTTTGGACCATGGGGATCTGCACCTGCTTCTGCACCGGAACTTCCACGATTTGGTCCTGGCTCTTACTTCTTACTCACTCGGAGCCCTGAAGCACCTGAGACAAGAAATCGAGAGCATGAAGCCGGAAGCCCGCTACGATACCTCTCCAAAATGTATACCGGGCAGGAAAGGATAATGATGCAGACAGCTATCCTCGAGAACCAGTCTTCTTTGATAGCTTAACTTGTGGTAAGGATTCAAGAAGCAAAAACGGGCGAAACGGGACCTCGCAACATGCCTCGCAAGCAGCTCATTTGACACGCAAGCTCTTCTGAGTGTGTAAGTAATTATCCTGGCTCGGGCTTACTGCAACAGCTGCAAAACCCTTACAAAGCGTTTATGAAACCAAAACCAACCAAAAAGCCTTACAATACCTATACATCCCTCATAAACCCAAATACGACTTTCCAAAACGTTATAAACATAAACCTGTATATGACCTTATACAATCCTCAAAGACCTTATAGAACCAAATATACCTCGATAAAACCTTTATAAATCCCTGGTCCTCATACTGGATCTGCGGAACTTTCACCGTCTTCTGAACCTTCTGGACGATGGGCACCTGGACCTCGACGCCGGTCATGGGTGCTTCTCCGGTTCAGGGCTGAGGGACAGAGTAGAGGGTTTAGGGTTGAGGGAGGATGGTTTGGATTTGAGGTTAGGGGTTTAGTGTTGAGCCTTGGGGGTTCAGAGCCTAGGGCCTAGGCCTTAGGACAGAGTACTGTGCTATTGCTACAGCTGACTACTGCCACTGCTGCTACTACCACTTCTCACCACTTCTTCTATTACGAACACTTCTCGCACTTCCGATGTACTGCCTCCTTTCTCCCACTCCCACGACGAAGATAGCGGGCAAAGACCATGATTACTTGTTATCAAGTGTTCAACCATCGTGCTTGGTCCAGCAGCGGGCATCGAAGCGCAGGAAAACGTAAGTCTGTCAGTGTTCCCACCACACCGGCCTGCGTCTGGATGGGAACCTGGACGATCTGGTCCTCGCTTTAACTGTTGCGGTGTAATTACTGCTGAATGCACAGGACATCTGCACGAGTGGATTTTGATTGAGCAAGTGAGTAAGTGAGGAGGGGAGAAAGGGAAGCAGGGCAGGCAGGCGAGCGAGCCAGCGAGCGAGGGAGTAAGCGAGAGGAAGAGAGACAGAGATATTTGCAATGCAAGTCCGCTTTCAGCTCGTCAAGGCACCAGGATGTGATTTCAGGTGATGCGTGCCATGCTTTCAAGCCCCCAAAAGCTTCTCAGTTTTCAACCCTGCAGTGTGGGTCCTCGTACTGGACCTGGGGCACCTTGACGGTTTTCTGGACCTTCTGCACCACCGGCACATGCACCTGTCTTGCCAGAAGAAACACCAGGCGCTGCGAATTGATGCACCATTGGCGCAAGGTAGAAACAACCGCCGAGATACCCATGAAAACGACAGCTTTCACTTGGCAGAAGCTTCAGCAGACATTGAAATTGCGACATCGAGCTTCCCGTTTCGGAATACTAGTGCATTTCTGTCATCCAGTCGGCATTTCATCGGTTCATAGATGCTTGAGCAGGTTGTCTCGTGGCGGGCAGAAGTGGCGGGTGAGAAGTGAGACGGAGGTGTCTACTGCCACCCAGCCCCCAGCCCCCCGGAAAAATAGCAATAGCCCCAAGAGTACCAGTAGTAGTGCTGATGGTAATAGTAGTAATAGTAGAAGTAGTAATAGTGGTAGTCGTAGCAGTAGGAGTAGCAGTAGGAGAAGTAGCAGTAATAGTAGGAGTAGCAGCAGCAGCAGCAACAGCAGTGGCAGCAGCAGTGGTAGCGGAGAAGTTGCAGTAGCATAGGCGAGTAGAGTCGCAGAAGTAGTAAGAGAAGTGTTGTGGGTAGGAGTAGGAGCAGCCTTAGTAGCAGTAGTACTAGACGCAGCACAAGTAGCAGTAGTGGTGGTAGTAGTAAAAGTCGTCGTCGTCCTCGTAGTATAGTAGTAGTAGTAGTAGTAGTAGTAGTGGCGGTGGTGGTGGCAGTAGTAGT